CTTGTTTCTGTGTCATTAGGGCTGGTATTACAGTCCTTGCACCATGCCTGGCTTTCATTTGTAAACTTCTCAAACAATAAAATTATGTCTTGCTTTCTAAAAGAGCACCATCAACTTGACTGCACATTTATTACTTGACAATTTAAATATTAGCTCTTAGTCCCTTAAATTATAGTATAAGACCAGGTGCTCTAGTGATTTGACATGTTAAATTTGTGTGTATTATGCGGTACGGCGGCTTGAACTCGGGGACCACACCTTAAGCCACTCAACCAGCCCTTTTTCTCTGTGAAAAAGGGTCTTTTCTTTGAGATAGGGTCTCAAAAACTATTTGCCTGGGCTAGCTTCGAACTGTGATCCTCCTCATCTCTGCCTCCTGAGTAACTAGGATTACAGGCATGAACCACTGGTGCCCAGCACTCCTCACTAAATTATTTGTTTGTTTGTTTGTTTGTTTGTTCTTTTGTTCACTCATTCATTCCTTTATAATTTGGGAAATTTGTTTTCTCTATGCAGCCCAGACTGACCTGAAGCTCTATCTCCAATCTACTTCCTTAGCCACTGCAATGCTCTGATTGCAGTCACTGGTGATGCCACTGGGCTCTACACCTGACTTGCAATTAAAGTTTAAAAACAAGGCTAGGATTGGGCATGGTGGCTGAGCTGTAATCCTAGCATTTGGGGAGGCTGAGGCAAGAGGATCAATTGTTGGAGACCAGGCAAGGCTATAGAGATAGACACTGTCACAACAGGAAAGAGCTAAGGAACAGGAAGGGAAGAGATGAGTTTAAAAACATTCTGCACAGTATGGGTCTTAAAGTTTGTATTTATTTATTCACTTTATTTATTTATGCACTTAGGCATTTATTTAGTGGAGATGGGGTTCAATCCAGGTCCTCGTGAATGCCAGGGAACCTTCTGTCACTGAGTTCCATCCCAGCCTGTGCAGACTTTAAAGGAGGAGCCCTGCTCTGTCCCAGGCCTCTCAGGCTCCTCTCCCAGGGCTCAGTGCCCCTAGGAGCAGGGCTGGCACATGGGAATGTCCATCTCAGAGCTTGCCTTAGGCTCAGGGTTTCCACCCCAGAGTCAGCATTTCCCACATGCTGCCTCCCTGCTCCATGGCTTCCACAATCACTTCTTCAAGGATTGGAAAAGGGAAATGTATGGCACCATTTTCTCCAGTTTCTTCCATCCTTCCTGGGCAGGGTAACATACAAGGAATAGAGAATGGAGGAAGGCTGGGAACATGGAATTCCCCTTGCCTTTGTTTTAGGACCTTGAATGATGACCAGAAACTTTATGACAAAAAGGCTGGGGTGAACTTATGGCTCCTTCGTGTCCCTTCTAGGGGGTTCTGAACTCACAAGAGCAGTGGTAGGAAATGGATGAGCAATAGTGAACTTGGGCACAGTTGGTGCTGGTTAAGATACTCATTTAAATATGTCTCTATACTTGTGCCTCATTTTTGATGATTCAAAAGAGACCAATGAATCCTGGATGGACAGGACACAGCTGTAATCCAGGACCAAGGAGGCAGTCAGAGGAGGATGGAGAGTTCAATGCCAGCATGGGCTTTATAGGCAGATCCTGCATCAACAAAAACACACGCACAATCCAACACAGACTGATGTTTCAGAGAATATTTTTTAATATAAGTTACCTTTAAATCCAGAATGAAGAGAAGCATATATGTTAAACACTGGGTCAGGTTAACATCACATTACAGAGCTCATGCAAGAACCAAGTATAGTGAAATGAGCACCGCACATTTCTCTGTAGAGAGAGTGAGCAGAGAGGTTTATGCCCCTCACCCTTCCCATCATCCACTGCAGCAAGGGTTCTACAGGTTAAAAACGCAATGGGGTCCCTGACATTGTCGGGGTGGTGTTCTCCTGCTGTGGTTTTTAGAACTGGGGTGGGCTCTGCAGGTCCTTGTGAGCTGTGGTCCAGGATGGAGCCTGTGGGGATGACCCGTGTCCTGCTGCTCTGCTGCGTCTGGCCACAGGAGAGCAATCCTCAGTTTCAACAGAGCAGCCTTGCATTCCATAGAGTGATAGCTCTACTTTGCTTTTAGATATAAAATATTAAATACGGAATGTGAACCACTTTTTTTGTAACCTGCAGTGAAATCCATGGCCTTGCACAGTCTAGGCGAGAACTTCATTATCACTTTTTATGTTATTTTATTATTATTATTATTATTTATTTTTACTGGGGTGATAGTAAAATGTATTAGGAAAAGAATACACTTGGTTTTTATTTTTCTTTTTTTTAAATGGAACACTTCAGGACCTTGGTGTCATCCTGGGCAGCGCCATGCTGATCTCTAATGGAGGAGCACACTTCCAGTAGACTGAAAGCGGGTCACCTCCAGAGAGAGAACGGGAATGACCCAGGCAAGCACTTTTCTGCTGAGCTGGTCCCCAGCCTGAAGGTACTGACTGTGGAGGGCCGGGGCATCGCTCACGGGGACAGTGCTTGCCCAGCACGCATGGAGGCCCTGGGTGAGGTTCCCCATCCTGCAGAGGCGAGTGCACGCATGCTGGGAAGGAAAGAACACGCACACACAGCATCACAGCGAGGTGAGTGTGTCTTGTGCAAAAGGAAAGTTCCGCTTCCAGGTCATCTCGGATTATTTTATTTTATTGCTCATTTTTATTTTATTTTCTGTTGATTCAACAAATGTACAAAAGTTGATAATTATTCTAGTGGCTAGAGACCATTTCCTTATTTACTTGCTTATTTGCAGAATTAAATATTTACTTACTTATTTGAGTAGTGTCTCTGGATGTTCACAAGGCTTGCCTCCATGGTGTCAGCTCAAGGCAAACTCCCCTCTAACCCTCCCAAGTAGCTGGGACTAAAGGTGAGCACCACTGCATCCAGCCAAGCTGCTTTAACTCAGGAACATAATCGTAATGTTGACATGGACAAACATCCTTAAACAATGACATTTTCAGGTTTTTCTTTCTAATATCAGGAACAGACTGAACACTTTCCTGTCTCACACACAGGATTATGACAGTCACAGAGCAGAAACTACCATCAACGAGTGGGTGGGTGGGTCCTTGACCTTCACACCATCCCTAATTCTTTCCCTTTCAGGGCGGGACAACTGATTCAATCACTTATTCTGGAGAAAGCTAAAGCCAATCAGAATTAACTGTGTGGAGGAATCTGACCAGATGCTGCCTTCTGTTGGACACTAGGAGTTGAAAAGGGGAGGCGTGAGGAGAAAGGTCAATAAAGCTTCAGAGGAGCCACAGCGGAGAAGCAGAGTCCTGGAGCCTGGAGTCACTGCCTGGCCCTGCTGGGGTTCAGAGAGCCCTGGGCACCTCATCCACAGCTGGTAAGTGACTCACCTCCATAAGGACACCCTGACCCTCCCTAGCCAGGGTGAACTGTGGCCTTGCACCAGGGTGTCACTGAGAACCTTATGATTTCTGCCTCTTCAGCTGAGCAGGTTTAAGGCTTTGGGCTCTTTTGGAGGTGGTAGAGTTTGTACCCAATGCCTCTAACTTGCTGGGCAGCCGCTCTACCACTTGAGCAATGTCACCATCCTAAGACTTTGGTTTGATGCTACGCAGCTGTATCCTCATCCTAAATATCTCAGTTCAGGTCATTTTAACACTTTTGTTGTAGTCTTTGCTTGTGGAGACGGGGTCTGGCTATACAGCCCAGGCTTCCCTGGGAATCTTGCTTTGGCTTCTTAGGGCTGGGATTACAGTCCTGCCCCACCATGTTGGCTTTCATTTTAAAACCTCTCAAACAGAAGTTTTCTAAAACAACACCATCAGTTGACTGGGTTTTGGTTACTGAACAATTAAATACTAGACTCTATTCTCTTAAATTACACTTTTCTGACTAGGTACTCTTGTGATTTTACAAGTTAACATTTTCTTCTTGTATTGAGTTAGAAGTTTTTTAGTTTGGTGGCTCTGGGATTTGGAATTCAGTGCCTGATTCCTGGTAGCAGACCGTCTATCAGTTCAGCCACTTGACCAGCTTTGTTATGTGTTGGGTTTTTCTTCATTTTTGCAGTACTGGGTTTTAAAATCAGGGCCTCAGGCTTTCTAGACAGTTACTCTACCACTCTGGTGGCCCTGTTTTCTGTTGGGATTTTTTTAAGAAAGGGTCTCCCAAACCATTTACCCAGGGATGGTTTCAAACTGCCATCCTCCTGATCTCTGCCTCCCTAGTAGCTAGGATACAGTCCTGAGCCACTAGCTTTTTGTTATTTAGTGGAGATGAGGATCAACCAGCATCTCATGGATGTCAGGGAACCCTCAGTCACTGAGCTCAGCCCAGCCTGTGCAGACTTTAAGGGCAGAGCCCTGTTCTGACCCAGGCCTCCTAGGCTTCTCTCCCAGGGCTCAGTGCTCCTAGGAGCAGGGCTGGTGCGTAAGGATGTCCCTCTCAGAGCTCGCCTTATGCTCAGGGTTTCCACTCCAGAGTCAGCGTTTTCCATATGCTGCCTCCTCAGCTCCATGGCTTCCACAGTCACTTATTCAAGGATTGGAAAATGGAAATGAATAGCGTGGTTTTCACCAGTCGCCTCCATCCCTCCTGGCAGGGTAACATACAAGCTACAGAGAATGTAGGGAGAAGGACACATGAGATATTCCTTGCTTTTGTTTAAGGACCTTGTTGATGATAAGATACCTATGACAAAAAGGCCGGAGTGAGCTTACTGACTCCTTAGTGTCCCTTCCAGGGGGATCTGAACTCACAGGAGCAGTGGTAGGAAATGCATGGACAAAAGTGAACTTGTGCCCATATTGATGCTGGTGAGACATTCATCCTGCTGCCAGCTATCACAGAGCTGTGGCTTTGTGGACCTCAGGTGCTGAGGGGAATTGGGGTAAGCTGAGTCTCTTCTACTATTGTAGAGCAATGATTCAGTTCCTGAGTTGGGTCCTTGGATGGATTAGGGGTTTTCTCAGCCTTGTCCTGAAGCAGGCATCTTCCTGGCAGGAGCCTCTCATTACAGATCCTTCAGAATGAGCATGAAGGCCCCACCCACCCTCCTGCAGCTGGCAGGGCAGAGCCTGCTAAGGAATGAGGCCCTGGCCATCTCTGCTCTGCAGACACTGCCCATGGAGCTCTTCCCTCCTCTCTTCATGGAGGCCTTAACCAGGAGACACACTGAGGTCGTGAAAGCCATGGTGCAGGCCTGGCCCTTCTCCTGCCTCCCCCTGGGACCCCTGATGAAGGCAGGAGAACTGGAGACCTTACAGGTTGCCCTGGATGGGATCGACATGCTGCTTGGCCAGCAGGTTTGCCCCAGGTGAGTGTGACCCAGGCAGCATGGAAGGGAGGGCCCTGGGATCATGGGAGAACTGAGTTGAGGACATGGAGAGTGGGAAGGAAGGTGAGCAGAATCATCTCATAGTGCAAACAAGGAGATTAGAAAGGCCAGGGCCATTGCTGAGCTCCACCTGGGAACCAGCTTGCAGGAGTGGAGGAGTGCTTAGGATGGATGGAGAGATGGCAGAAGGAGCTGTCCCTGCCTCCTCCCAATGTGGTACAAGTAGGGACCACTGGATTCAAGAGGTACAGAGAGGAGAGTAGGGATAGAGTTCAGCCATCATAGCCCATGGGAAGAGCCTTTGCCTAGTATGCCTGAGGCCTGGGCCTAGAGCCTCAGCACTTGAAGAGAAAAAAGAAATACAGAAAAACTAATACAGACACGAAATTGAGAAGTCTGGGATGGGGAACAGAAGCACAGTGGATGTTGGGAACCTGAAAAAATCCTCAGACTCTCCCTGTTTCTCCTTAGGAGGTGGAAATTACAGGTTTTGGACCTGCGATCTGTGCACCAGAACTTCTGGAAGGTGTTTTCTGGAGCCATGGTTGAGTACTGCATATCACAGACCAAGGGCAAGAACAAAGCATTGGACATCCCTCCAAGGACAGGGGTGAAGCCGTCCTTGAGGCTGATAGTTGACCTTAACTTGGAGCTACATGACCAGGATAAACTCCAAATACACCTGTTTGAGTGGGTCCAGCAGAGAAAAAGATCAATACAGCTGTGCTGTAGGAAGATGCAGATTTGGGGACTGTGCACCTGCGGCTCCAGGACATGGCCCATCCACAGGGTCCTTGGTCTGTTGGAGCTGGACTGGATGGAGGAGGTGGAAATGAATTGTCCCTTGATGCTGTACACACTGGCTACGTTTGCTCCTTACCTGGGCCAGCTGAGAAACCTGCGCAAACTTCGCATCTCTCAAATCTTTGTTCTGGCATGCATTTCTCCAGAACAGTATGAGCAGCTTGTGGCCACCTTCACTTCTCAGTTCAGCAAACTCAGCTGCCTCCAACAGCTCTGTGTAAGCAGGGCCTACTTCCTGCATGGCCACCTACAGCAGGTGCTCAGGTGAGGATGGATGGGGAGCTTTCTTCAGAGCAGAGCCAAGCCTGCTGTGTGCCAGCCAGTGGAGATGTCAGCGTGATGTGTGCATTAGATATCTAAGTGCTGGCTTTCTCTAATTTATCCTTTTGTGTGGATGGTCATAGCCCCTCAAAGTCAGAGGGGACACATGGTGGATGGCCTGGAGAGAATCACCATGCTAGCACTGGGAGGGGGCAGGTGTAGGGAGGGTGGGCTGTGAGTTCCTCCCTAGGAGGTGTGTCTTCCTCAGGTGGTGGAAATAGGAAGGGGAAGGGACACTGAAGGAGGGAAGCACCTCGCACCTGCACAGGTCACCATGGGAGCTCTGAGCTTCCCAGCTGTGTGAGCAGGCAGGAGCCTGTCACTAGGTTCCATTCTGTAATCTGTGGTATTGCCCTCAGACAAGGGAGGGAGAGGTGGCAAGTGTGTGAGACTGAGATTGAGGGTGAGGAGCAGCAGAGAAGCAAGGGGACAGTGACAGATGCTATGCTGGTGATGCAGGGAGGAGTGAGCCACACAGGAAGCAACACCTGCCAGGTTTCCAGACCTTGCCTGAGTTTGTCCTTCCTGCAGGTCTCCACTGGCCAGAGTTGGGACATTGTGTGTGAGAGAGAGAAAAGGGCGCTCTGGAGAGGGGGCAGTGAGCCAGTCACACGATGATGGTGAAGGACCTCAGCTTAGAATGGGAAGACTAGAGAACACGCTCTTTAACATGTGGCATCCTTGGTATCGACCATGTACAGATCGTCAGGTCCACTTGGGTATGGATGGGAAAGGTCATTCCTGACCTCTTCCACCCTACAATCCTTTAGCCAGAACTAACTGCTTGGACTTTCCTCAGGTGCCTGAAGACCCCCTTGGAGTCACTGTCAATCACTCACTGCCAGCTTGCAGAATCAGACTTGGAACATCTGTCGCAGTGCCCATGCATCCACCAACTAAAACACCTGAGTCTGAGAGGAGTCCCACTGATCTCTGTGCGATATGAAGCCCTCCAAGTTCTGCTGGAGAGAGTTGCAGACACCGTGAAGACCCTGGACTTAGAAGACTGTGGGATTAGGGACCCCCAGCTCACTGCCCTCCTGCCTGCCCTGAGCCACTGCTCCCAGCTCACTATGTTCAGCTTCTTTGGGAACCACATCTCCATGTCTGTCCTGAAGGACCTACTGCACCACACGGCCAGGCTGTGCCAGTTGAGGCAGGAGCTGTACCCTGCCCCTCTGGAGAGCTATGATGGGCTGGGTTCTGTGGTCACAGAGAGACTTACCCAACATTGTGCTGAGCTCATGGATACACTGAGGGCCATAAGGAAGCCCAAGATGGTGCTGTTCGGTACTGAGCACTGCCATCGATGTGGCAACCGATGGGTCTATAACATGGAACACTGTCTAAATTACTGTTGGATGCATGCTTAGGTGGCTGAAAATGTCAAAGGCCTTCTGTCAGCTGAGAAGTGAAAAATCAAAGCCTAGGCATCTGAACACATGGTTTCAGATCACTGCTCAACAGGAGTGGGTAAAATGAAGGGGAAGGAGTGGGGCTCAGATTAGAGGAGAAAGGATGACACAGAGAGCAATGTGTCCTTTGGACATGTGTCTTATACAGTCAAGTACAAATCAGAATGTGTCGATGTGTCATAATGCTGGAGAGGTGCGTGAGTGTCACCCTGCATAACCATTTATATAAAAATGGTCAGAAATGAATGGAACCTGAACCTCCATGCAAACACTCTTTGTCTGCCTGGTCTGTTATCCTGGTGTCCTGTGTGAAGGAAGGAAAGTCCTGTGGCTGTAGAGAACCAAAAGCCCTAAGCTAGTGAGTCTGAAAATCAAGAACTCATGGCATCAACAATTGGAGCCACACTGATCACTGCTTTCCACCCTTCCTCTTCTCTGGGCATCTGTACATCCCAGGGTCAGTGGTTATGCACACAAGGCTGTCAGCTGAAGTGAGCTGCTCAGACCCACTCGAAAGGACACTGTCCATTTGGGATCCATGGTGCTCAGGCTGGGGTGGACCATAACACATCCTTGGGGGCTGGGGAAAGGGAAAGACAAAATGCATGGAAAGGAAATGAGGCATAAATCATATTTCAGACGCCATGCTTTTGTGGACTCTAATCCATTTGGTTGCCCCTTGCACACAAGGCCTGCACTATGGGGACAAATATTCCTCACTTGTGCTAAGGTTTCCATATGAAGCAGGGAAGCATCACAGAAAGGGAAGTGCTTATTTTCCCCTCCTAGCAGGAACGAAGGCTCCCACATCCTTCAGTTCACCCTCAATTCTTGTTAATGAGGAGGAGAGCAGGGAGTCAGGCACAGAATGGGACTCAGCCTCTACACAGGGCCTCCATTTAACCAGGATTCATTCCAACAGCACAGATTTAGCAGGCCTCAGGGAAGGACAGTGGGGGCACAAAACTGGATTCATGGGTGTTCGGCTAATGTGGTAAAGCATCTGCATAGCAAATGGAAAGTCCTGAGTCTAATCCCCATTACTAAAAATCAAAACAATGAAAACCACCTGGCTCCTGGATTCACCTCCAGTGATCAGAAAAGATCCAAGTTGGAGGCCTCGTGCGCCCTCTGCTGGACGCTCAGGACAGAGGCGTGAGTGTTTTCCAGCACCACTGCTTCCCGTGGTCATTTACAAAACTGCTGTTCTGGGAGACTATTGAGCATCCATCCTGTGTATGACTTTTTAAATTTTAGCAGGGACTTCTTTTAGTTCAACAAGATAGAGTAGGGAGAAGTGGGAAAAAAGGGAGAAACATTTCTTGCTCGGCATGTGGGAACTGGAAGCAAATTTTCCTGTGTTGTGATTTCTAGAGATTATGAAGATATAAATAACTTTGAAAATTACAAAGGAAATTTAGATCTTTCACAGAGTGCAGTAGAATATGAAAATAGTGTTTAACTTGGTTTGCTGGTTCAAAAAAAGAGGCACTTGCTCTCAGGGTGTGTTCAGTGTAGAGCACTTGCTTAGTATGTGTGAGGCCCTGGGTTCAATTCCCAGCACCAAAAAAAAAAAAAAAAAAACCAATTGAATAACAATTGAAAATTTAAGCTCTGGGTGCTGCACAGGTCTGTAATCCCAGACTCAGAAAGCTGAGGTATTAAGACTAAATTTGACATTGTGCACCGGGGGCTCATGCCTGCAATCTCAGCCACTCAAAGGGCAGAAATCCTGAGGATTTGGGATCCAAGCCAGCCAGGGCAAATAATTCATGAGCCCCTATGTCAAAAAACCCATCATTGAAAAGGGCTGGTGGAGTGGCTCAAGCTGAAGGCACTGAGTTCAAACCCCAGTACTACAAAAAAAGTAAGTTTGAGAACAGCCTGAAGGATATATAGGAAGCCTTTCCCAACAGACATTAGTCAAGTTAAGAAATGAGACTTTCGAAAATAAGTGGAAACATTGAATTATAATATTACTTATTTAATACTTAGAAGAATACAAGGTTAGAGCTTGAATTGCCACACTTATTGTCGTGCTGGGTGTAGGCACATTGTAGTATTTACAAAGGTTCTTACAATAAATCAGTCCATCATACTTAGTTCACCCTCTCCACTGCTCTCTCTCATCCTGACTTAATTTTTTTTGGCAATACTAGGGTATCAATTGAAGGGTGCTAGCTTAGCAGGCAGGCACTTTACCACTTGAGCCACTCCACCAGGCCTTTTTTGCATTGGGTATTTTTGAGATAGGATTTTTCCAACTACTTGCCTGAGCTAGCTCCAAATTGCTCCCCTCCTCACCTCTGCCTCCTGAATAGCTAGAATATCAGGGGTGAGCCACCAGTACCCAGTCATACTTATATATTAATATTGCTTCAATTTTTTCATACCAGTTTTAGAATCACAGAAAAATTGGGCAGAAACTCCACAGCTCACACATCTCCTGCTCCACACAATGATCGTGTACTACAGGAGTAGGGTCCCCTTTCAGAGCCTGCCTACCTTGCCCCACAAGGGTATCTAGACAGAACAACCCAGATAAGCTGACCATGGGAAGCTTCCATACCTAGTATTTACACAGTGCACCCTGGTGCACAGAGAAGAGCCCATTGGAGAAAGACTGGTTTCAAAGGCAGAGCCAGGCATGGTAGAGCACGCCTATAATGCCATCACTCCAAAGGCTTAGGTCAGAGGATCAGGAGTTATGGCCAGCAGAGACCACACAGGTTGCCCATCAACCTGGGTCCATGACTGATTCCTAAACTAACAGTGAAAAGGCTGCCAGACCAAGAGGACGACTGTAGGGCTCCCAGGTGTCTCCTTCAGCCCCCACAGGGCAGAAGCTGTGACCACAGCTCCCCAGGCCCTGAGCTCCACCCCAGCCCGTCACCATCTTACTGATCCTCTACATTCTCTGCTGCACTGCCTCTGAGCTGGGTAATTGGGGCTCAGTCGTGTTCCAAACTAGGAGCATTCCTGGGTGTCTCCCTGCTTAACAGGGGGAAGCTGTTGGAGGCGCTCAAATTGTTTTGCTAAAAAGCACTGACTCTTTTGGGCCCACGAATTAACTACTCACAGGAGAAAGGCATAGCATCTCTCTTCCATTTTGTATCTGTCTTTGCTATAAGCCATTCTCTTTGTAGTCACTTTGCAATCACCTTGGATTCCAAAAGACAGATGATAACATCTTCATGCAAGGGACCAAGAAGCTACCCCAATGGTAAACCTTCCTCAGGGTGGACCACCTGCCAGTTGACAATAAAACCAGATAACAACTCCAGAACCAGATAAGGTTCAGCCAGAACACATCTGCGACTGGGGCTGTTTAACTATGCATACCTTCTGTCCTCTGCCCCCACTTCCTCTGTCTTCTTAGACATACAGCTCTTCTCTGTACCCTGAAGATGGCTGAGATGAGCTGAGTGCTTACTCTGCCTCCCATGGCATGTCCCGAGCCGTGTAATAAATTTCCTTTCTCTGTCCTCACCGTGCTTTTTTACTTGTCATTTAGGGGCCAGTGGCCAGACCTGGCATATGGAATGTCAGGAGCTTGAGTCTTGCATCCAAAAACTCCTGTTTCAAAGCCTGTGCTCTAATTACCCTGAAGAGGTGTGCTTCCTCTGACGAATCAGGCAATGCCACCCAAAATTTATTTATTTATTTGAGACAGAGTCTCCCTGTGGGTCACAGAAAAGTCATTCTAGCTATGTACCTAAGTCTTTGCTCTCAGCTAGAGAAGAATTCAGGCAAGACGTAAAAATTCAGTGAAAGTCATTTTAAAATTTACTAGGACAGGAATACACTTTCAATAGACTGAAACTGGGTTGTCTCTAGGTAGACAATTATTTTTACCACAAGTTTTATCATATAATTAATTTTAGCACTTTATTTTTGCACAAATTTTCATAGATGTTGAAGGGGCTTGGAGGGTGAGGCCCCTCCCAGGACCAGCCATGAGGCTAGCTGAAGGACAGGAGGCTGGGGTAGGTGCACGGGTTTACAGAGAACAAGTTGTTGGGTCTTCCTCACTCCACGGATATCATTTACAGTGCTGGGTCTTTGTTTTGTTGAGTAAAGATCTATTGTTGCAGGAACCCACTTCAGGGTTTGTGACTGAAAAATTTCTTCTGGCATCCCATGACCTTGATGGGCTATTTTGATCTTAACAGAGTCTGTTAAGAGTTGAAGGTTTAATGACAATGTTATTCTCTAGAGACCATGAAGAACCATGCATTTTAGGTTCCCTGTGCATATCCCCATCACTCATGGATAACTGCTATCTAGCACTGTGCAGCTCAGGCTGGGCTGGAACTCACCATCCTCCTGCCTCTGCTTCCTGTGTACAGGAATTACAGGTGTAGTCTGTAGTCCTCCTGTCTGAGGAGTTGCTGCTATGTGACTCTGAGCCTCACAGTCCCACTGGTGACCATCACAGCTATTTGCCTATTCATCCTGGCTCCATCAATAGTGGTGATCAACAGTCATGTTCTCTCGTGGAAAGGGAGAACATATAAAGCAAAAGAAAATGGAGCACCAAGACTTGAAAAATAGCCTTAACCCTGGTTAACTGCAAACATAAACCAAGATGAACTTTGGTGTCTTCTGGGAACAGCATAAGTTAGAGAAAAAAAGCAATTGCCCTAGGGGCCAGGCGTGATGGTGCAGATCTATAATTCCATCTACTTGGAAGGCAGTCATCAGGAGGATCTTGGTTAGAGGGCACACTGGACAAAAACCCATGTCAACAAATAAGCAGGGTATAGCTGCTTGTAATCCCAGTCCTTGGGAGGCAGTGACAGGAAGATCGGGTGTTGTAGAACAGCCTTGAGTTACCTAGTGAGACTTTCTAAATAAAGAAGAGAAAGAAAGTAA